AGTTGAGTCATTTATTTCAGAACTCTCAGTTTTTTGTTCCCATAATATTAAACCTATTCTTCCATAAAATCCTTTCATTAACTTCAAATTTTGTGGAACTAATGCTAGGCTTTTCTCTGAATTTATGTTCAGATCTAAAAAGTACGAAGACCATGTGATTTTAAACATTAACTTTAAACTTCAAATGGCATTATTTGTATCCCAATAAATAATGGCTTAACTTCTACCACAAGAGAGTTTCCACTCCCTGCTGAACATTTACAAACACAGGCAGGCCGGGTGGGTGGCCCACACCTGTAATCCTAGCACTCTGGGAGGCTGAGATGGGTGAACTGCTTGAGCTAGGAGTTCGAGACCAGCCTGAGCAAGAGTGAGATCCCAACCCCATAAATGCATTAATGTACACAGTTAAGATTTAATTAAAAAAATAAAAATAGAAAAACCAGCTGGGCATTGTGGCGGGTGCCTGTAGTCCAAGCTACTGTGGAGGCTGGGGCAAGAGGATCACTTGAGCCCAGAAGTTTGAGGTTGTTGTGAGCTGTGACACCAGGACACTCTAGTCTGGGCAACAGAGTGAGACTCTGTCTCAAAACGAAACAAAACAAAACAACCTCCTACCCTCCAAAAAAACCCACCAGCAACTGGAACAAGAAATCCTTACTGCAATGACAATAAATACCCTTTCAGACATCTCAAACTTGGAATAAAAATATATACACATGAATGTCCACTAGGATCCAGGTCTCTGCTCTGTTGAACTGAAGGAAATTTAGTAGAAGGAAAAAGAAAGAAATCAGAAGTACAAAGGCTCTAGCCACCCATTCTGCATAAGCACAGAATGGAAGGAGGTGATATTTTCTGAGCACCTGCTGTGACAGGTGCAGGAAGGAAAAAGCCAACAAGGAAGTGTGAAGAACCAGAACATCGCTCTCCCGGGGCATTCTGAATAATAGAAGCTTCATTTTAATCAAAATGTATTGGACTATACATCCCTTAAGGACACAGACTCTATCCTTCTAGTCTCTGTATCCCTAGCACCAGACACAGGGCCTGGTATAAGAACCACCTTAGGCTGGGCACAGTGGCTCACACCTGTAATATCAGCACTTTGGGCGACTGAGATAGGATGTCTGCTTGAGTTTTAGGCCAACCTGGACAACATAGTGAGACCCTGACTCTAAAAATCAAATCAAATCAAATCAATTAGCCAGCTATGGTGGCTTACATATGTAGGCCCAGCTACTTGGGAGGCTGAGGCAGGAGGATCGCTTGAGGAGTTCAAGGCTGCAGTGCCACTGTACTAAAAAAGAACAAGATCCTGTCTCTCAAAAAATAAGAAAAAGAAAAAAGAAAAACTCCCTTAAAGTGTAATTAATTATTGGTGATGAGAATGACCAAATTAATAAGCCTCTATGGTATTTTAGAACAGAATCAGAGACAATGGCATTTCATGAATACCTTCACCAGAATTGCTTCTGCATGTAGGGCTCCTCCTGCTTCTTCTTCAAATTAAATTGTTAATTTGGAGAAAGTCTGCTCCCCTTAAAAAATACCCCCAGGCACTCTATGTATAAAGTTGAATATTAACATGACATTTAAGGATTATTCCAAAGAGTTGTCAATGAACAAAGCAGCATATTCTATTCTTAGCATGTTTACAAAGGGATACGAAAAATCAGAAACACAAAAAAGTTGCTGAAAACACTTGCCTCTGTTAAGAGAGTAGGAAAGGATCCACCAGACTTCATCAGCACCAGTTTGGGGGATGATTAAATGAAGGGAGGTTTGGGAGTTGTGCTGAGGGGACCGAAGCACTGGGCAGGGGAAGGGAAGCAAAGTGGACTGGATAGGACTGGGCTTGCCATCCCAAGGTCCCAAGGCAATAACACCTAAGGCTCAGGGACATCACCTTGCTGGGGATGGGCCAGAGAACTGATCAAGTGTGGGGCTCGGGGACACTCCCAAGAAAGCTAATGATAGTCCGGCTAAGACCAACTGCCAAAAATCCAGGTTGTGCTGTGCCACCAGACCTGTGTTAGAATGGGGAGGCGGAAGCCAGTCATTCTGCGACTAGTCTGTGATGGGAAGCTATGCAAGGCAGAAAGCCAATCCAAAATGATGTGACAGCAGTTTTAGGGATGGGTGTTTTAAACCATCCACTTGAAACCCCTAAAAAAAAACTGTAATGATCTCTAACTCGAAGTTTGCCTAGGCAGGTGGGCGCTGTTAGGTGACAGAAAGGACACAAAATGCATGGCTAATAATCACTTTCAGGGTCAAGAGCCCTGAGCCCTGAGATGCAAAATACTGTAGCCTCATACTTTCCAAAGGCTAAGACGAAACAAGCTGTTGGTGACTACAAAGGACCAGAGACCAGTCTGGAGGCAACTCCATGGGCTCCACTGCAATCTACTCTTTCCTTCTGCCAAAGAGAGTTCAAGTTAATAAGGGAACAGATCCCAGGAAGATTGGGTGGCCTGAAGATGAGAGGTCGACCAAAAGCTTTCTTCAAAGACCTCCTAATCTATCCATTTGTCTTCTAACTGTTCCAAGTAACTTCAAGCAAATGAAAGCTATTCAAAATCTTAAAAGAGCAAATTTGTCACAGTTCAATTTATAATCACCAAGATGTGGAAACAACCTAAATGCCCACCAATCTAGGAATGGATTAACAAACCATGGTATACCATCGAGTACCATTCAGCCATTACAAAAGATGGAGACTTTACATCTTTTGTATTACCCTGGATGGAGTTGAAACACATTCTTCTCAGTAAAGTATCACATGAATGGAAAAGCAAGTATCCAATGTACTCAATACTAATATGAAGCCAGCAGATGATCTAGTACACACCCATACATAAGAGAAAAATTCAATTCAATTCAAGGTTGGGGGGGGAACAAGGATACAGGGACGGGGAGGAGAGGGGGAATGGGCGTACTCCAATTAATGGGCATATGTTAGGGGGTATGGCAGGCTTCTTGGGGGTGACTCAATCTAACAAATGCAAACATTGTAACCTAGTTGTCTGTACCCTCATATTAATCTGAATAAAAAAACCAAAAAACCCAAAATCTTAAAAGAGTTTTCACCGAACTGCATCTACTATTGCTATTGGTTTACAACTGTTAAATATTTGGGGGTTAATTTTCTCAAAAACATTGCAAACTTAACATTGCAGTGGTAAGTCCTGGTAATTTCTTTCCAATCCTAAAATAAGCATATTATAAATGCCTAAAGAATGTTACAAAGGTCCCAGTGCTACTTATAGTTAATATATTTATGTCAGTATTAAAATATAGTCTGCCTATTTCTCATGAATCAAAGTATCCATTAACTGAGCAACTATCACACATTTAAACTTCTTTATCTTCTGTATTCATTGCCAGAAACTATGAAAAATTTATTTTTTGAATGGATGATGCTTGGAAATAATTTTATAACTTACAAATAAATTAAAAGCTAGATACACACATAATGGATAAATACGAATATACAAATTTGTGAATTAGAACAGAGAAAAAGTTAATAAAAGGATCCACAAAAATACAAAATGGCTTTAGTTTTTCACCATTCTATGAGAATACCCCATTAAAGGCGGCTAATAAACCGTATTCACTTAATAGAAAAATTTGTTACTCTCATGATAGTTTTTTCATTATTTCACAATAGTAATCTTTAGTAATAGTGAGAAGTCCTATTATATCTCCTGAATGATGTAATCCACATGTTAAATCAATGCTTATAACTCTTCAAAAATAACTTCAGATGTCTTTGAAATTCATTCAGAATAGGGAGTACTTTAAGGGAGGATATGTTAAGAGTCATAAAATAGTATTTTCTAAAAGTTTACAGAGTTGTCTTTGAGAAAAGCCACGAGTCTTGATTTTTTTTTCGGTTTTTGGCCAGGCCTGGGCTTGAACCCGCCATTCCAAGTATATGGGGCCAGCGCTCTACTCCTTGAGCCACAAGCACTGCCCTCGAGTCTTAATTCTTAATTCCTTCAGGAAAGACCTAACAACTAATAAATTGTTATCTTATGTATCTGCAAATTCAGTTTAATCGCTGACTTAATAACATGAAGTATAACAGCAAGCAGGAGGGACTACCTCCCATCTCCCCCATTCCTGTCACCACTCAGCATCGCACAGAAGAGCCACACGATGGTGCTAAACTTAGGGTCACACATGTGCAACCTCCCCAGACTTCTGGGGGCCACATGTCCCTTGGAAGTTTTACTTTCATCAAGGTGAGGAGACCCATCCCAGGCAGAGGTGAAGTGTGTTATTGCCAAGTCAACCTTCAGTCTCAGGAAGAAAAGTTACCACCACTATCCTTAGTACTTGAAACTGTTCTTCAGCTGTCCCTAAACACTTTGACTTTTTAGAAATGTATTACAGGCATAACTGGTGGTTTTATCTTGGTATGATATAACACTAAGAATAAAAATACTAAGGGGCAGGGTATGGTTGGGTGTTACCATACCCTGAATATCACCATAGTCTGGAGCCATGTGGGTCATCCCTCTGCCTTAGTGGGGTAATAGGTTTCAGAGAACAGGTGCTCCAGGACACAGCCCGACTAGGAGGGGACCGAGGAATGATACTGAGAGAAAAGTCTCCTGGGCCCTTTCCAACCTGCCCCCAGAAACTATGGAGGGATAGCTGGGCTATAAATCCACAGAACACCGAAACAGCTTCACCTGTCCTAGAGTAACTTGTAATCCTATGATTTTGTTGGAAATACAAAATCCCCCCAAATGCAAAAATCAATCATGACTGCTTTAGCCCTTCTGCCACCACGCCTGTGTCGGCTCTCACCACCCAACAGGGTAGGCCTGTGCGACTACTGACGCCAGAGTGCAGCGTCACGGGGAGTCCCTCTCACCCCCCCCACCCCCGCCCAGGGATACCGTTACATGCACAGATCGTGGCCCATCTGCTCAGACACTGCTCCACATGCCACAGGTGGAAACGGAGCAGACAAAGATCAGGCTTACTTTCTTTGAACGCTTTACAGTAGCCGAGGAAAGAGAGCAGGAAGAACAGAGCACACAGGAGGTCTGCGCGGCCAACAACACCAGCAACCTTGAAAGAAGGGGAAGAAAACAATTAGTAGAAAACATTTAAAGCACATCCTGAACTTAGGAAACACAGAACATTCTTCAGACATGTAAAACAAGAAACTTCCTGGACCCTGCCACCTTTTACAACCCGGAGGTGTTATGATTGGTTCTCTTCTCCCTTTTTTGGTCTGGGACTTGATTTAACTGCTTCCAGGAAAAAGCCAGGCTGCCTTGGACCTACAGATAGTCATTCCGCTGGCTGGACAGACAGCAACACAGCTGTTATTGAACATGCTAGACCTAAGAGCTCCAGAGACTCGGGCTTCTGAGGTCCCCAGAGTGAATTTTCAAATGGAAAATGTTATCAGCTCAAAGGGCATGATATTTAAAAA